TAAGTAGAGAGTCATGTCCGCAAGGTAAACCCACTTCCGTTTCCAGGGCGACCAATTTATAAGCTTCTCCTATCCAACATTTGATATGAATTGAAATTTAAAATAGCATTAAATCACTAGGGAAGTCTTTATAACCCAGCCATACCTCATGTTTACTACACCCAACGAGGCTAATGGGCAGCCTCCGCGCTCGTGTTTTCTTTCCGAAATCATATTTCTGGAAATACTGGCCGGCGGAAAAGTGGTAATTTTGCAAAGCCAATTGCCTCTGCTTATGCATGTCGCTGTGACATGCATGCTTGTCCTTTCAACAGGCTCTTTGTTCGTATTCTGTTTCACGCTCCTCTTCAATCTCTGTCCGTCTGTCCTTGAATTAGCCCCTAGCGTTATCTGTCAGGCTACTCAATTGCCTGGTCGCCTCGTTTATACGTTTAGTCAATAAATTCTCTTGATCTGGGTACTGGCGGACTAGCTGTTCTCCATTCGTGTTTACAATCGAGGCACGAGACAGTCTCTGCGCACGCAGAGTGAAAAAAAAGAGGGATAAAACTCCCAAGCCATTAGTAGGCAGTAGCTAGTAGGCAGGCTTTGTATGATCTTATTTTAGTCTGGTTTTCAGGGCAAATTTGAAGACTATACCCCTACTGAGTCCTCTAACAATGTTACCGAGTCTGCTTATTCCGGATTTCATTTTTAGACGCCATCTCAAGCTCGTAGTCACTCTTAGAACCGAGGTAAAGCCCACTAGAGTGACTTGACAACAGGAAATCGATCAAGAGGATCGAATTTGCATATCACTTTCCCTATTTGTAGCTCAACGCAGAGACTAAAGCGGTTCAGTGATGAAGTACTTGAATATGTACGGGGTCGTCGTTTCGATCCCTGAAAGCTTAATCAAGTTTCAATCTGTCACACCAAGTCTATACAGCCTCCTTGCCCTATTTCCTGAGAGTTAACTGACGTTAGGCTCCAATGAGGCGTGGAGATGCGAAGGCTCAATCGCCTTATCCAGTCTGCAACCAATTTCCTTTTTAAGCTCATTGTTTAGGAAAGTATTTAAGCATTTTCGCTATAAAAACCTCTTTTTGGAGTCACTAAATGTTCGAGCATTAAACCGCTAACTTGGTACGTTTTCAGACTTTTTTTTCTCCTAAGAGAGCTAAGAATAGTGAAGCTCTCAGACGAGGCCAACTATGCTGCTGGCGAAATATCTTGGAATGTAATAAGTTAAGAGCCCGATACTGGAAATTGTCATGACTACAATGGCAGAAGACACTGGACGAAGTGCGCTCATCGATGTTATTTTGACGGCTTGCTGAAGTGGTGCAAAAAAACAAAAATAATACCAACCCAATAGTGCAAAAGGAAACCAAGCTATATTTCTTCTCATCTCTACACTTAAATTGATCTACTCATCATAGTTCATTTCCTTTATTGACTCCTCTAAACTATTGAGCATTTCAAGAATAACTTTGAGAATCTTTAGAGAAGCTATGCCGGCTCCGAAAGGTCTGCGAGTAAACAGAATGTTTTTGACTCTTCGGACTAGTTTGGCTCCCATAGGA